ATATCTGCATATCAACTCTTTATATATCTTTAACAATTAGTAATATTCTAAATCGAATGTGCGAGTAAACATAAAGAATTATTACATATAACAAAAATTTTAAAAGCATTAATTAAATTTATATAATTCATATTTATATATCTTATGCATTTAATTATAGAACACATGATGATCCATTTTTATTGTATGCTACACTGAAGAGCGGCCACCACACTGATTTCTTCTCGCGGGATTTAATGCGTACACACTCTTTTTTACTGGGGCCTGAACTACGACCAATTTTTAGACGTTGGCAACAGGAACACCAATATTCTTTAGTTACCCAAACTGAAGGTGGAAAAATAATAGTTAAGGTATGATTGACGACTGACGTTTAATAAACAGAGACTATTAGCTATTAACTGAGAATTTTTTCTAGGAGCCAATTCGTTTTATGATATGCGCGCACAAAGTGAAAGACACTTGGCATTTGCCTTATAAACAGGAATATCTTGCAAACCCTCCAACATCATTTGAAGTTTCATCAAATTGGCTCTGCATTAAATTTCAAAATTAACCAAATAAAGTAACTGAAATGTAAAATTTGTTTTAAGGACAATTAAAATTCTTTCATTGAAATAAAATTTATTTACTAATTTACGTATGATTTTATAAAATCCATCCAAATTCTACAGTTAAATAATATTTTGGCATACTCAAAGTTAGCAAATTTTTACAATTTACAAACAAATTAAAAGTATTCAAATATGGCAAGCAGTAATGTCGATAGTTGGGACTTGCCCCTTCCCACCTCGACATCCTCGACCTCTGTCGAAGAGGAAGAGATACCAGATGACGAGCGCAGACGTAATGAGAATATGGAAAAACTCAAGAAATATGTCGATAGAATGGCGTACCAACCGCAACCGCCGTATATAGCTAAGCCCACTTTTGAAAGATTGAAAGAGCCCAAAAAACACGCGGTTTTGTATACTGCTGAGTACTATGCTGACATCATGACACCGAGGTTGCGAGGTGAACGGATGAAAAACTTGGCATGGAAGCATAATGCAATCACGACAGAGTAAGTTCTTGATTGAATTAGTAGATGTACATCATTTTTTTAAGAAACGAACAAACAAACTTATTTTAGTGACATCTAGTATATATCTGTACCATCTTTTCTAATTCAATTAACCTTTTAATCAATCAATTAATTCATTCAATCTTAGTTGAAGGATATTTGATGTATCAAATTAATGTATATATTATATGATATATAAGAAATAGGTTTAAATTTTTGAGATAAAGATATTGTTCTCCCAATGGGCTTGGTTTAAAACTGAATCAACGGTAATTTTATAGTTACATTTCTGGTGTTTAGACAATTCTACATTTTTTCTTTTATTCTTGTCAGGGTTTCTCACATGAAAAGAAGTTCAAGAAAAAGATTAGTGGGTTACTTTGTAGAGTATAGTTTAACGTGCAACTGACTTATTATTTCTAACAATATAATCCAACAAATGGATGAACTATAATATTTTAGCGTATTATAATAATGTGTTTCAATATATTATTTTCTATATTAAATTCTGATATCACACAATTTAATTAAGAAGTGTTTGCAATCTGCTGCGAGCCAGAGGTATATATAGATACTGTGACAATTACGTATCTGACTAATGTCAGGACCTACCTTCCACATTTATCGCACTAAAATGGCATCCCTATCCAATTAATGGTACCTTTCACTCGATTGTAGCTGTCTAATGGGAATTGATAAATTTTCACTTTTTTTCTATATTATTAAAAGATTATAAAAAAGAAATTCAATTTTATAATTTTATTAGGTAACAAAACCAGGGGAATCCTAATGATCGCCGGTGTAAACAAACCTAATCTTCACAACATATATAACAATAGATTTGTTTAACTTTTCATTATTTTAATAAATATTTCTACCAAATAACTTATTAGTCAGTAAGATATTATATATTCGACTAAACATTTTATTAAAATAATGTTTTTATTAATGCTTTCAAGGCAATTGGAAGACATAATTAAGAACCATAAAGCTAAAGAACGTAGACGTGAGGATTTACTTAAGCGTAAACAGGAACTTTACTATGAAATGCTCACCAAAATGGAAAGGCAGTGCCGTACCCAGTATTTAAATGTTCTCATCCAGAAATTTGCTAAGTTCATCGCTAATCTTGCAACAACTATAAAGGTGCCACCGCAACTTGTGGAACCGTTTAATCGTATGCAGCGTGGAATTTTTTGTAACATCCTACTAGCAATAGGAGTTCATCCCAATAATCAAGCTGCTGTTTATTACACAACCAAGGAAGCGGTTGAATATGAAGTATGCCATAAGCTTGCACATGCTTTGCTCAGCTTAATAGTTAAGGCACTTGATACTGCAGCAGCGAAAAACCCAGAAGATATACAACCCATTCAAGACATTGACTTTGAAATGGACAATTATATCAAGGATCGCTTAATGTGTGCTGCAGAAAAGAAAATAATGCATTCTCGTAAAGAAAGGAAAGCAAGAGCCATTAAGGTTTACAAAAACCCGTGCAAGGAGCCCAGACTTTTTATTGACTGATTTTTGCTCCACTACTCATTGCTTTAACTTTACATATTTGAATGTAGCGTAAAAATTCTCATTTGTGCGTTAGCCAAACCAACACATCACTGATTCAAATTGCAAGTACGAAATTTAAGTATCTCGGCTACTTCTATAATTGCCGATTTAATAAATTTCATGTACTCATTAAAAAATTTTATGTCTTCCGAACTGTAAAAATACATACACGCGTGTGAACTTCATTCCAAATGCACCTTGCTAATAATAAAACATTTTTACAGTGAACTTAACATATATTTTACAATTTGCATTTGTTTTTTTATGAGGATATAAAAAAAAACGAAAGTTACAATATATAGTAGTATGTGAAAAAATAATTCAAAAAAAATATGTAAAAATGAATGTCCCTACCATGCCAGAATCTATAAATGATTAATTAATGATAATAATAAATTATATTAATATATGTACGGTTTTAAATTTTATGAAGATAATGCTTTGTTGAACTCTGCTATTTTATTGATAACAAACTTCTCCTTTTCTATTATTTCCCTCTTAATAATTGCACGTAATTGTTGCAAGTTAGGCATTGAGTTGCAATCGCGCACGTTCAGCAGTTCCCTGAAGATAGTTTCCCATAAGATTTTATTGAAATAACGCGGCACATGCGTTTTATGCATCCAGATATAATCGGATCGTTTTTCTACTTCCATATATTTACCAAAGAGCAATACATGTATCACTCCCGCTAAGCCATACAAATCCAATTGATAAGTCCATGGACGTTTGTCACGCATTTCCACACAATTGAATGCATTATTATTGTGCACATAACTGAATGTCTGCCCAGGTTTAAAAAGCTGCATATCGATCGAAACACCAAAGTCGATCAGTTGCAGGCAACATTGCTTCGCTGGATATGTCAACCTTTTTTAAAAAATATAAAAATATAAAAAATATTTAATACTCGTACATAACAAATGAATGCTTACTTATTCATTAACAGTATATTATCAGGTTTAATATCTGCGTGGATGATGTTAGCAGCGTGCAGGTGATCCATGATTTCCAAAAGTTCACATGTCAGGTACATCACTACATACTCGTCCACATTTTTCATAGTCGCCTTTTTAACTTTATTGCAAACATTTATCAGTGAACCATGGTCCGAAAATTTGGATACTAATACACTTGAGTTATTGCCGATTAGAGAAAAATCAATCTTCATGTACGCATTTAACTAAAAGAAAAAGAATAACTTATTTAAAGAGAATATTTAAATTATAAATTAAAAAGCTATGGCTGAACTATTAAATTAAATTGTATAATTCCGTCACTAGAAGTACTCTTGTCTCTCTCCAAGAGTACTTCGTTTTCTATTATGCACCTGTGTGCATGTTTCTAGTTTCAGAAACACTGTTGAAATGCCTTTTTAGAAATAGTTTTGATTAAACTGGTTCTGGCACGTAGTAGCCATCTCAACTATTGTTAAAAACCGTTATAATTCCTTGAGTGTCTCATTGAAAAAAAAATTTTTTTATATTAAAAATAGTTGCAGAATACCAAATTTCGCAAATAGTGCAGTTTTGGCATTACTCTTATACTTCACTATGAACTGTTGAATGAGTCGATCGCATTCAGTTGTAAATCGTATGACCAAAGATTTGGTGAAAATCAATTCACATTAGCAATATGACATTTATACTTCTTCAGAAACCTCTCTAATGGTAACAGTTCGTCTATTATATTTCTAGTTTTTTCAACATTTTATCATTGATTGATAAAGTCTCGAGGTATTTTTAAGGTCTTTTCGATATTCCCAAAAGATCTTGTATTATTCAAAAGTTCGTGATTATGACAGTATCGTTACCAAAAGTCTTCCTTAGTATAATAAACAATTCGCACGTACTTAATTTTATTTAAAATATAAATTTTATTATCTGTTTCTGTTACAATCTGTTATCTGTTTCAAAATATGCTACATAAAATGTCGCTAAACACGCTTGGGTAAGTCCTGCTCATTCGCTTGGCAAATACAAACTAAACACCACAGTTACCTAATAATTAACACAAACATTACTGATAGTGCAACCAATACATAAATACTACATTTACTCGAATCGATGAAAATGATACGATGTGTTACTTTTTCGTCACATCTCGTATGTTAGTGCGACATATGAGTATAAAAGACTTTTAAAATTTAAGAAGTTGTTACAGTTCTATATTGTGGAATTGTAAATGGAAATTGCATATAAAAATTTTTTTACTTATGGCGCTATATATTATTCTTTTGTAAAAGAATATAAATTCTAATGTTCAGAAAAATTGCTTCATCGTTAATAATAAAAAGTAACTATTTTGACTTAACCTGTTAAAAGAAAATCAGATTAAAAATTTTTTCTTATTTCTTTTATGGAACAGACAATAAAAAAAATATCAAGTTACTAATAAGTTAATTTCGATAAATGATTAATTTTATATTATAGTTTTTTTTTGTTTTTTACTTTATAATGAAACTGATATATTTTAATTATCCATATATCTACCTCTCTATGTTAGAGGTCTTCGACACAATGGGAATGACTATTTATAACCAGTACCTAATACAGAAGTAAATCAAGAGCTTCAAACGTCAAGCAATTTATTGTCCTCAAGTCAAGTTTATCCAAATATTTGTATTGTCGTTAACAATATAGTTGAGACCACATTTAATCAATATTCTCGATAAAATGGAACGTCGGCAAAATTTTAAAACAATTTTAACGTAACGCATTCTTTTATTCTTAACATTGACGAATAAAAACATATTTATTGTCAGAATAATTGTAATCTGTTGGGTGTACTTTTTTAGATACGATATTACAGAAAGGACGGCACTAAGTACTCATTAAAAGTATATATTAACTTTTAGATGCAGTCTGATTCAATATAACGATATAAACAGAAAGACCGGAACTGAGTACTCATTAAAAGTATATATTAACTTTTAGATGCAGTCTGATTCAAAATGTCAGCCGTCTCTTTCACTGTGTTTCTAAAACAATTTTAATATTGTATATGAAAGGGCTTAAAGGATCTATTAAGTTTCTTAGCAAAAAAAATTTGAAGGAATTTTTGTTTATTTATTTAATACCTATAGAAGGCATTGATAATAATGAACGTTCAGATATTTTAATTAATAGATTCTAAATGAATCTCTACAGATGTGATAGTTTGCCGACCTAGGTGAGTTAGATTTCATTCGTGAACCTAAAATATTTGTTTACTAAACATGATGAGTAATTTAGGATTCCAAGAATGGGCGGGTCTATTTCCCTGAACCACTTGTAGAACTTTACGACCAAGTGTCGTTCAACAATCTCAAACTGGCTAAAACAACAACAAAATGAGTATTTCGGATATGCTTCAGCCGTCCAATATAAAAACGGTGCCCTATGTAATCACTACCAACTAATGAAGATTAATCGTAGGTTTTGTAAGGAAGTCACTTCAACGCCTGTGTCTGTATGCCTTTGACTAAAATCAAAAACGGGCAACAGAAAAAGTGGAAGACCTAAAGTCACGTAGCGCCGTACTATAAAGAGGAAGGCGAACAAATCTGGACGCATTGGAAAAAAGCAAGTACCACAAGAATACCCATGTATTAAATGCTTTATTAAGACTTGATGGTTCTTAAAAAGTTGAAACAACTAATGCTATATGTGATCAATTCAGTCAAGTTCTCGTGAACGGGTTATTATATAATTAGTTCTTTCCATTAAGAATCAATTTTTGGAAGTAGTTAAATATATTTCTTACCATATTTTCTGATGTAATACGACTTTGTAGCTCCAAGCAAATATAATATTCCCAGTAGTTTGGTGGCCGTTCCTGTTTAAGCGCATATTTATCACCAGTTTTAGTGTCAATACCCCTATATAAATAAAAAAATATATATAGTAATATAATCATTGTATATATATATTTAAAATGATAAAATATTACTTTGATTTTATACTAACCAAAATATATTACTTACTTATACACAGCGCCATATGCTCCTTCACCGATAAGTTTCGAAATTTGAAAATGAACGCCATTGATTTCAATCGTTGTGTTTGGTTTTATGCAGGGGACACAACCTACCATTCTACAAGTTTGCAAGTCTTTTAAAAACGTTATTAAATCAATTTGATCTAGAAAAGCGTTTATTAATTCCACATTAAAAGGATTAACATTCGGATCTACACAAAACCTTTCCACCAGCTGATTGGTTTGATTTAGATCGCATTGCCGGTGTACAAAGGAATTATTATCAGACTTATCCAAAGAATCTCTCCATACATGTACGGTATTTTTGGGAGTTCTGGGTGTATTCTTGAAGTAAATACTCATTTCATCGTCATATTCATTACTTAAGTTGAGTTTCTCCTTATTGAAATAGTCACCTATTCCCAAAGCGCTAGCGGCGTTTTCGTAATTTGTAGCAGGTTTATTTGTGGATGCAGTCGATGTCCGATGCTTTTCCGCTGGGGATTTTTCTGTTGCGTTTAAATTCGATCTATTGCCAACTGTATCTTGTACAAATGATGACGGTTGCTTTAAAAAGCTCTGCTTAGATTTTTTGCAGTCTTGCGTTACTTGCCTTCTAATCTCATGAGTTTGTTCTAGTGTAGTCTTTTGCGGATAATTCGAAACCAAAGTAGAGTTTTTAATTAAGCTTATATTCGTTGAGAATAATGCAGTTTCTGCGTTCAGCTCGAAAAAATCATCCAAATCACTATTTTTTGAAGTTTGTTTTTGTGGTTCCTTACACTCTGAATTAAGATCTGTCTTAGGTTTTTCTAAAAAATTTAAATTACTCTGGGAGTTTTCGTAATTTGTTTTTGTCGGAACTTTTGGTGAAGGTTTGCTCAAAAATTTCAACGTACTACCTCCAGAGCTGAAGGCTTTGAGGTTTTCTTTCTGTGGCTGAGAGTTTAAAACTACTGACAAATCCTGCATTTCATGAGTATTATTTTGTGTATTTCGGAACTGAAGCTGTGATTTCGGTTTAATAAATGAGCTTGCATTCGAGTCTTTCGTTTCTGATTTGTTTAAATGGAAGAATGAATTCGATATATTCTGAGACTTTGTAGAGACTTGTAATGGTCTATTATCCCCGATGGAAAAGTCGTGCATGAAAGAATCTCCAGAAACAATTGTTTCATGTTTCCGATTTGTGTTGTCCACTTGGTGTTGGTTTGCACTGATGTTTGCACCAATTCTTTTAACTGATATATTCGTTGTAGCTCCTGTTAAATTGGCTGCTTCTGATTTTTCGTTTTTTGTGTTTTCCTTTTGTGGATTTGCTGTTGGTTGTGTTTCTGAAATTTCGTTTTTTGTGTTTTCCTTTTGTGGATTTGCTGTTGGTTGTGTTTCTGAAATAAATGAAAGGTTGGATAAAAGAGAATCGTCTTGTTCAGGTTTAGTTATTTCAGTTC